ATTGCCCTTAGACAGGACATCTCCACTGCCTCCAACCGTCTCCTCGCTGCTGCATTTACCACCCAAGCTTCACATCCATATAAGAGTGTTGGTACTACTATACTTTCATACATTCCCTTCTTTGCCTCCATAGATAAAGTTTTTTGACTCCACATATACCTCAACGCACCACTCACCTTTTTTCCCTCATCAATTCTATGATTAACCTCATCCTTCATAAATCCATCCGCCGACACGTCAACTCCCAAGTATCTGAAAACATTCACTTCTTCCATACTCCTCCTCCCCAATTTGATATCCAATTTTTCTTTATCTAAATCATTTGATACCCTCATCACCTTACTCTTTTCTATGTTCACTTTCAACTTTCTACCTTTACACACATTCTCAAACTCATCCACTAACCTTTGCAATTTTTCATTAGAATCTCCCATAAGCACAGTATCATCAGTAAAAAGTAACTATGTCAATTCCCATTTTGAATTTGATTCCCCATAATTTAATCCCACCCCTCTCCCGAACACCCTAGCATTTACTTCTTTTACAACCCCATCTATAAATATATTAAACAATCATGATGACATTACACATCCCTGTCTAAGACCTACTTTTACTGGGAAGTATTCTCCCTCTCTTCTACACACCCTAACCTGAGCCTCACTATCCTCATAAAAGCTCTTTACAGCATTTAGTAACTTACCACCTATTCCACATACTTGCAACATCTGCCACATTGCTCCTCTATCCACTCTATCATATGCCTTTTCTAAATCCATAAATGCAATAAAAACTTCCCTACCTTTATCTAAATACTGTTCACATATATGCTTCAATGTAAACACTTGATCTACACATCCCCTACCCACTCTGAAGCCTCCCTGCTCATCCACAATCCTACATTCTGTCTTACCTCTAATTCTTTCAATTATAACCCTACCGTATACTTTTCCTGGTATACTCAGTAAACTTATTCCTCTATAATTTTTACAAACTCTTTTGTCCACTTTCCCTTTATATAAAGGGACTATACATACTCTCCGCCAATCCCTAGGTACCTTCCCCTCTTTCATACATTTATTAAACAAAAGTACCAACCACTCCAACACTATATCCCCCCTGCTTTTAACATTTCTGTCATGATCCCATCAGTTCCAGCTGCTTTACCCCCTATAATAATAATGTACTAGATAATAATTATAATAATAGACAGCTTCAAAAGGCCGTCACTAGATGTCATTGTTTACCACAACAAAGAGGGAGCAGTTGTGGCTGCCTCCACCTGTTACATAATGACATATTTTATTCATTCTAGAGTATTTATCAGGTTTCTATGTTATTTACATTGCTTATTATGTCAGTTGAGATTAATTGTGCTAAATAAATAAGCCGTATAGATGACATTAGTGAAATATTGAAGCATCTTGTCATGCGTCCTGAGAGCCGGGAATGGATTAATTGCATTTCAATTAATTTAAAGGAGGAAAATTGACTCTGCAAACTAGCAAATCCAGATGTGAGCAAGGTCACAGAACAGATTAAACCAGTGAGTGGAGGTTCCACTGTATATACAGGCGAAGGGGTTACTAGCCCCTTGCTCCTGGCATTTTAGTCACCTCTTACGATATGCATGACTTGCAGAGGAAGAATTCTGTTCCACTTCTCCATGGGATAAGAGGAAATACACAAGATCTAGCAAGAAAAATAGAAGAAAACCTAGAGGATGGCAGGACTGTAGCACCTCCCTGGGAGGTTGCTGTCTACCAACCTACTACCTAGGCACACATTACTTACCTTAATATTTTTTTGTCCTTAGCTTATAGTAAGTGGTGAATACATTTACTGTAGGAAGTCTGAATATACAAAGAATGAATATAACTGAAAAACTGCTGAATTAGCAAAGCGACATAAAGCAGGGTCTGCCTGAATAATATATGTCAGGTCAATCTTGAAGCATGCAGCATAGAACCCACACCTGAGGAAGCATGTTAAGAAACTGGAGAGAGTGTTGAACTATGCAACAAGGCTTATTCTTGAGTTAAGAGGCAAGAGTTATGGGGAGAGGCTAATGGAAATAAATCTAATGACACTGGAGAATAGAAGAACCAGAAGAAATATGATAACATACAAAATACCCAGGGAAATTGATAGGGTACACGGGGATGTTGTTCGAGAGGCTAGAAACGGAAACTCGGGGACAAAGCTGGAAGTTGAAGACACATGTGAACCACAGGGATGTCAGGAAATATTCAGTCTCAGGGTGGTCAGAAATTGGAATGATCTCAGTGAAGAAGTGGTGGAGGCAGGCTCCCATACTCAGCTTGAAGAGCAGGTATGATACAGCCCATGAGGCTAGGAGGATGTGAATCTAAGAAGTGCAAGTTGAGAGGGTGGGGTTAGGAGCTAGGACTTGACCCCTGCAGCCACATATAGGAGACAACATCAATGAGAAAAAATCAACTGAGAGAGGCAGAATTAAAAACACTTCTCTCTACAGATTAACAGCACCATAACCATGTAAAAATTTGTTTCTTAAGAAAAATAAACAAAAAACAAGGAAAGAGAATCACTTTTATAAAATTTTATGAACAAACACTGATGGAGTATGCTCAAAAAAGAATACAACTGAGGGACATTATAAATGACAAAAAACCTGACATAGTGAATTTAATGAAATCAAATTAAAACAACATTCTAAAGTTTTGCATTAACGGTAATATCAGTTTTGGGAAGAGAAAAGGAAAAAATGAAGGAAACTGGCAAGGATTTTTAAAAAATGAAATGACAAAAATTATGTAATTAAAACCCAAAGGGAAAAAACAGACCCCAAAAGAAGGCATTAGTTCTACAAATTTTAAATGTTTGAAAAATTCTTTGATCAGCTTTATTTTTTAAATGAAAAAAAAATTTACTAATAAAAATTTTCACACTGACCGGGACTTAAATTATTTGTGTTTTTAAAATAATCCTTTCCACTGCTGCACTGTATAAAGTTGGGAAACAAGTGCACAGTAGAACCACAAATGTTGATGTGCACCAGTAACACTACTACCGGCATATTTTCCCTGAAGACAGCTGGGTCACCCCCCGGGGGCCCCCAGAAAAATGGTTTCCATGAAAGAGGCAAAGCTTCACCAAGGTTTAAAAAAAGCAGGGGGTTTTACTGCTCCTCTAACCTCAAAAATGACGCTTGCCCCGATTTAGGGTTGTCACTACGTTTTCCCTTTGCTTCCCTGGTTGAGAAAATTTTAAATTAAAATTTAAAGAAACATAAGATGCAAAACTATTCCCCCCAAGGAAGGATGAGAAAGAGGGAAAGAAATCACTATCATTTTTCTGTGTTTTCCTTTCAGAAGAGCATAGGAAACATTTAAAAATACCATAAACTATAGTTTTGCCCCATCTTTTGACTACGGCAGTACTTCAAAGATAGGTTTTTTGAAGTCAGTGGATCATTTGAAATGTGAAATAGAACTCTTCTCAGAAAATCAGGGAATGATGATGGCAACTTATCTTTCTTTTTTGGTTACCCCCCTTTTGTGGGAAAGGGCCCATATATTTAAAAAATTTTGGTTCTTCCTTTAGTGAACTTAGTTTTAAACAGCTTTTTTAAAATTAAAAAGAAAAATGCTTCAAACCGGGGGGGACTGTCCCTACCTAGGTGACACCGCCAAAAAAAAAATTCCTTTATTAATATCTGTGTTGCCAGCAGTGTGCAGGCATCCAATTGACGACTTTCCGAGCAAAACCCGTCTGCTGGGATGCAACACTGTCCTTCCCCGCCTCCATCACTATTTTTGGCTAACCGTTTCCCCGAAATCCCAAATAAATGTTTTCCTTTTTTCATCCCAACAATACACAAAAAAAACCTGAAAAACCTCTGTCTGCACTCGTCTAATCAACAGCACACACACACACACCCCCTTTTTCACCACCTCTTCTTAACCCCTTCCCGGGTGCCCATAGGTCCCCTATCCCATGCCAAAATTTTTCACCTTCTTCCCCCTTCTATTCTAACCCAGCCTTTCTAAATGGAAAACCCCCTCAACAACCCCCTTTCCCCTTTTAATTATATTTTGTAACTTCAAACCATGTCTAACTACTGTACTGCATAATATCACACACCCCATAGTGCTCTCAAACAAATTTACGCCTACGCATCTACCTCACGCAGTTTTAAAAGAAATATCAGTGGACCCCCGGGTTTAAAATATTTTTTTCACTCCAGAAGTATGTTCGGTCCAGTACTGCCCAATTTTTTTCCCTAAGAAATTTGTGAAGTAGTTAGTCCCTTTTTCAGACCCCCAAACATACACGTTCAAACGCACTTACAAAATTTAAATTTCATAATTTGGCGCATTTGGAGGTAATCTTTTTCGGGGTCATGTATTTTGGTACACTGCCCCTTTTTGCCTCCAGATACTTTATTCTTTCCAAACCCCCAAAACCTTACCCTATTTTACAGTTCATCTCATTTCCCCCAAAATGTGTCCCTTTAAATCTGATGGTTGGCTTACATTATTTTGACTTTATGATGGGAAGAAGCAATTATGTGAAGATGAACTTAAAATAATTACCCGGGATGAAGAGTCAAGTCCATAACTTGTATACATTTTTTAACTTTTCAAACTGATATTTTGTTAGTTACAATAATTATTGTTTATTTTAAAGCAAAGTATTCATTTTTTGCACGTCATATTCATTTTAACTCATGATGGGATCGTCGGAAAAGTAAAAACCATTGTAAGTTGAGGAAACCTGTAGATCCATCAGCCAAAAATGTCCCCTTCAAAATACTAAATACTTCATTGCCTCAATTTCCCCCGCCTCCAAACTGATATCCAATACAGGGTTTAAAGGAAATAAGGACTTGGGGAAAGGAGAAAAAAAAGAAGAGGGGGGTGATGAAATGAATGCAATAGAAATAGTAGCAGCTGCAAGCTTACTTTATAATTAATAAATAGTATATACAAAGACACTCAATGTGTAATAAGTTTGCTTACTTTTAACACAAGTTCAGGTATCAAGGCTGCTAAATTATCAAATACAACTTTGAGCTTTTTTCGGTAATCATCAAATATAGCTTCATCTTCTCCTGCCTGTTCAAAGTTGTATGATTCATCATATTTAGTCTTGGTAATAACTACGTAGAGCATATTTTCAAGTAGACCACGTTCCACACTTGAGATTTGACCAGTTTGCTTAATTAACTGAAATAAAATAAAAATGTTACTCAAACTGTGTAAATATATCCTCCTAGTCCCTTTGACCAGAGGGCTATGGAACTGTTAAGTAAAATGTCCTCAAGCAAATTTAGTCAAGTACACGAAAATCTCTCGTTAATGGACGTCCATTTAACAGATTTCAGCAATTTAAAAAAAAAAATCGGCCAGACAAACATTGAAAGAATTAGAAAAAATGAAAAAATAAATAATAATAATAATAATAATAATAATAATAATAATAATAAATGAGACTCTGGATAGTCTGTAGCTGTAATGCCCAGTTATCTTCTGAACCACTGGACCAAGTCCGATGACTCTGACATTTGTCTGGTAGTGATCAGACCTGCCATGTCCAGGCCCTGTCTGTTTCCATTGTTCCCTGAGTCATGGGATGTCTGCACCAATTTATGATTAATACGTATTCACTTATGCACACACTTGTCATTCAGACTCCAATTTTTTCCTGGATTTATAGTGCTGTTTGTAACTCTATTAACCCTTTCATGGTCGAGAGACCCTCTCCTAAGCTTGTTCTCAGGGTCGAAAATTTTCCGGAAAAAAATAAAAATATTTTTTTATGAAAAGATAGAGAATCTTTTCCCGATCATAATGACACCAAAAGTATGAAATTTGATGGAACACTCTAGGATTTTCAGAGTGATACATGAGTAAAAGCTTCACTTTGCAATCCCCACTAGCATTACAACAAAACATGAGAGTTAGCCTGTCTTTCACAGGCTTGAGTCCTGGGAGTGCCTTTTCCTCCTGAGTAATGTAGGTCCTGTTTGGCATTTTCATCCAGAACAGGCCTGTTTCATCACAATTGAACACTTGTTGGGGTTGGAATTTTTCAGCTTCACAATGCCTTATCGCACTGTGTATGCCACTACAATTCTCAACCCTTTCAGGGTATCGGCCATACTAGTACAGCTTATGCCCCAGGGTTTTTGACGTACTGGTACGCCTAAATTCTAGTGCCTTCAAATCTAGTGAGAGAAAGCTGGTAGGCCTACATATGAAAGAATGGGTCTGTGGTAAGTGTGCGCAGTATAAAAAAAATCCTGCAGCACACAGTGCGTAATGAGAAAAAAAACTTTGACCGTGTTTTTGGATTAAAACAGCGACTTTGCACTGTATTTTCGAATGATATTTATTGTTGTATCCTAGTTTTCCTGGTCTCATTTTATAGAATGGAAGACATATTACAGAAATTGAGATGATTTTGACTGGTTTTATAATGAAAAGTACCTTGAAATTGAGCTCAAAGTAGCAGAAATGTTCAATTTTTACCAAAGTTCAAAAGTAAACAAATCATGCCAAGCGTCCAATTCACGTCAACTGGTGAGTCTAATATTCTTTCACAAGTGTGCTGATATTATTTACACCATTTCTACGCTAATGCAGTAGTCTGCATAACAGTAAATCTTCTATTTTTTGTAAGAATAAAAATTCAAAGTGGAAAGCATCCTGGTTGGGCAAGTTTTTTATTGTGAGGCGAGGCAAAATTTTTGCATTCAAATGCATCGTATGGCGGAATTAACGTTATGCGATGCGTTCATTTGGAATTAGCTGAAAATAGGGCTTAAATTGGGCAAAACGGCCGATTCGTAAATATCGCCGAGGTGGCTAACTTCGCGAGAGTGTAATTCCGTCAGTTTTCCATAAAATTTCATTCTTTTGGTGTCATTACAATTGGGAAAAGATTCTCTATCATTTCATAAGAAAAAATAATTTTTTTTTTTTTTTAAATTTTGGGACACCAGGAGGCACCTCAGGATTTGGGGTTGCGACAGTGAAGGGGTTAAATGCTTTATTGGCTGAGGTTGAGTCTGGCATCTCAGTGGCATATACAGGTACCATCCGACTTATGACCGAGTTCGGTTCTGAGAAACCAGTCCTAAGTCGAAATGGATGTAAGTCAAACTTTACTACTGAATATCAACATCACATTTTTGTAATGACTTTATTTTATTGTTTTGTTTTGGTATTTCATATTTTACTTTAGTTTTTATGCTGTTAGTACTGTATTTTATACTGTAAGGTTTAGGATAAACACTGTGTGCAACACAAACAGTTGTTTATTTCTCAGAAATTTGGCATAAAAAACACGGTCGTAAGTCGAGTGGTCGTAAGTTGGATGGTAGGTGTATTCTAAGCCATAATTTTGTAATTCTGAAGTTTCAGACAATCTGCAGTACCGTACACCCTCTCCTCTATGAATTCATTAATTAGAGGGTTCACTATACTGTATTATCTAGTATGGCAACAAAAAGTGACTAGGGTATTTACATTAAGGAAGAAACAGAGGATGACAGTCTTTACTAAAAATAAAACCTATAAAGCTAATAATATTTTAAAGGTGAATCTTGTCACAAAATTACATTATGTATATAAAATTTATGTAAAACAATAAACTGGTTTAAAATTATTAGAGATGAAGAGATTACATGATATGAGCCAAGGTATTATTGAAGAGCTAAAAAAAAAAATACAACTCTTGGTTGCAAAAATTAAGGAAAAGAAAATCAGAATGTCAAGAGTACAATGAAATGAAGAAAAAAAATTTTACTTTAAAGTATGAGAAATATATATAAATACAGTACATGACAAGATACACTACATACCAGATATCAGTAAAATAAAAACTTATTAGACTATGATTCACATTTAAAAATGGTTAACATGGGATAAATGACTGAATAAAAACTATGAAGGCTGAAGGCAATGGATTCATCTGTTACTTAAATGAGATAATATTCATTACCCCTACATTTATGTTTTAATTCTTTTGATAATTAAAATAAAGTTATCTCCACCTGGATGTAGTCCCGAGCAAAATCAAAAACTGCTGCAGATATATCATCGTATTCACTGGCCATAAAAGTCAGAAGCAATGTAACCTTGTTCTCCACAGCTTGTCGAACCATTTCTCTCTTGCTATTGTCTTTTTTATCCAATCTGTAAATAAAGAAATTATACTGAAGAATAATTTTAACAAAAGCCATGAATACTAGCTGAATGTTCATCCACTATGTATTAATACCATCTACAAAAGCATTACTGTTAGGTGTAAACTTTTTTGTATAAATTTACTAAAGATTACCTGTAAATTATCACATCAAAATTCAGAGCACACATTGTTCTGTCTGTCTTTTACAGTATCTAAAACTGTTACTCTAAGCATAAGAGCAACTCTGGGAAAGTATAAATTAGCTTTTGGCTCAGTGGATAAGAGTACTGTATATATCTCACCATGTACTCACCTATTTGTGGATGCAGGGGTGGAGTCTAAGCTCCTGGTCCCACCTCTCAACTTGTCACTTGCCAGATCCACTCCTGTCTAGCCTCGTAGGCTTTACCATACCCACTCTTAAAATTACGTAAGGAGCATACATCCTCCACTTCAATGACATCATTCCACTGCCCAAATATTAAGATTGAAGAAATGTTTACTGACATCCCTGTGGCTCATTAATGTCATTTAACATTCACCTGCGTCCCCAAGTACTGGTTTCTCGCTTCTCAAGCAACCTATCCCTGTCTACCCAATCAATTCCTATGAGTATTACTTATGTTGTTGTTATGCCTCCCTTGGTTCTTATGTCTTACAATATCATTAGAGTCAGTTCAGTTAGCCTCTCCTCGTAGTTCATACCTCTTCACTCCAGAACAAGTCTTGTTGCAGACTTCTGCACTTATTCCAACTTCTTAGCATGCATTTTTCATGTGTTGGATTCATACTGGTACTACATACTCGAAGACAAGCTGGCCATATGTTGTATAAAAAGCCCAGAAAATTCTTTGAAAAGGCTACTTTTAGATTTGCCAGACAAGAATTGGCTGCTGAACCTATTATGTGAGCCTCTGGTAATATACGAGAAAATATGCTCACCCCACCGCCTGTGGTCTTTCTTGTTGAGCAAGGTCTACAGGCTCTGTTCCCTGAATCCTTACTCTGTGACCAGTAGGAGCCAATAAGAGCATCAGTTCTTTTGTGTGTGGGTGTTAGTCAACCAGGGATGCAGTAACTTGCCTCTTGGGCAAAGTCTAAGCCAAAAGGATAGGGGTTGTGTGGAGGGTGACTTAGCAGCCAATTAGCAATGGGAATGTCTCTATGGTTGTACTACAGTTTATTGATTCCTCTTCAGTTTGAACCTATCACGTGTGCTGCCTGCACCAACTTGGTCAAGAAATGTTGATTACTTTTGCACTGTATGGAAGCTCATGTGGAGATGAACTTGTAGCCAATCACAACCCCCACTATACTCCCCCCCACCCACAGAATGTGGATAATAGTCACTTCTGTACTGTAATATAACAAGGTATAATATAGCACGTAATGAAAGTAGTTTGTTAGCTTATGTATTGGTGGATAAAAGGTTGATGGGTAGGCTCCAAGATGTACACATTTATAGAGGGGCAACTGACATATCAGATCATTATTTAGTTGTAGCTATAGTTAGAGTAAGAGGTAGATGGGGAAAAGAGGAAAGTGGCAACAACAAGTAAGAGGGAGGTGAAAGTGCATAAACTAATGGAGGAGGAAGTTCGGTTGAGATATAAGCAACTAGTGGCAGAAAGGTGAGCTGGTGCAAATATGAGTAGTGGGGGGGAGGTGGGGTTTGAAGAGGGTTGGAATAGTTTTAAAAATGCAGTATTAGAATGTGAAGCAGAAGTTTGTGGTTATAAGAGGATGGGTGCAGGAGGAAAGAGGAATGATTGGTGGAATGATGAAGTAAAGGGTGTGATAAAAGAGAAAAAGTTAGCTTATGAGAGGTTTTTACAAAGCAGAAGTGTTATAAGAAGAGCAGAGTATATGGAGAGTAAAAGAAAGGTAAAGAGAGTGGTGAGAGTGCACAAGGACAGCAGATCATAGAGTGGGAGAGGCACTGTCAAGAAATTTTCAGAAAAGAAGAAAAAAATTGGAGTTAAATAAGTTAAGAAACCCTAGGGAACGAATGGATTTTTATTATTATTATTATCACACTGGCCGATTCCCACCAAGGCAGGGTGGCCCGAAAAAGAAAAACTTTCACCATCATTCACTCCATCACTGTCTTGCCAGAAGGGTGCTTTACACTACAGTCTTTAAACTGCAACATTAACACCCCTCCTTCAGAGTGCAGGCACTGTACTTCCCATCTCCAGGACTCAAGTCCGGCATGCCGGTTTCCCTGAACCCCTTCATAAATGTTACTTTGCTCACACTCCAACAGCACGTCAAGTATTAAAAACCATTTGTCTCCATTCACTCCTATCAAACACGCTCTAGCATGCCTGCTGGAAGTCCAAGCCCCTCGCACACAAAACCTCCTTTACCCCCTCTCTCCAACCTTTCCTAGGCCGACCCCTACCCCGCCTTCCTTCCACTACAGACTGATACACTCTTGAAGTCATTCTGTTTCGCTCCATTCTCTCTACATGTCCGAACCACCTCAACAACCCTTCCTCAGCCTCTGGACAACAGTTTTGGTAATCCCGCACCTCCTCCTAACTTCCAAACTACGAATTCTCTGCATTATATTCACACCACATATTGCCCTCAGACATGACATCTCCACTGCCTCCAGCCTTCTCCTCGCTGCAACATTCATCACCCATGCTTCACACCCATATAAGAGCGTTGGTAAAACTATACTCTCATACATTCCCCTCTTTGCCTCCAAGGACAAAGTTCTTTGTCTCCACAGACTCCTAAGTGCACCACTCACTCTTTTCCCCTCATCAATTCTATGATTCACCTCATCTTTCATAGACCCATCTGCTGACACGTCCACTCCCAAATAACTGAATACATTCACCTCCTCCATACTCTCTCCCTCCAATCTGATATTCAATCTTTCATCACCTAATCTTTTTGTTATCCTCATAACCTTACTCTTTCCTGTATTCACCTTCAATTTTCTTCTTTTGCACACCCTACCAAATTCATCCACCAATCTCTGCAACTTCTCTTCAGAATCTCCCAAGAGCACAGTGTCATCAGCAAAGAGCAGCTGTGACAACTCCCACTTTGTGTGTGATTCTTTATCTTTTAACTCCACACCTCTTGCCAAGACCCTCGCATTTACTTCTCTTACAACCCCATCTATAAATATATTAAACAACCACGGTGACATCACACATCCTTGTCTAAGGCCTACTTTTACTGGGAAAAAATTTCCCTCTTTCCTACATACTCTAACTTGAACCTCACTATCCTCGTAAAAACTCTTCACTGCTTTCAGTAACCTACCTCCTACACCATACACTTGCAACATCTGCCACATTGCCCCCCTATCCACCTTGTCATACGCATTTTCCAAATCCATAAATGCCACAAAGACCTCTTTAGCCTTATCTAAATACTGTTCACTTATATGTTTCACTGTAAACACCTGGTCCACACACCCCCTACCTTTCCTAAAGCCTCCTTGTTCATCTGCTATCCTATTCTCCGTCTTACTTTTAATTCTTTCAATAATAACTCTACCATACACTTTACCAGGTATACTCAGCAGACTTATCCCCCTATAATTTTTGCACTCTCTTTTATCCCCTTTGCCTTTATACAAAGGAACTATGCATGCTCTCTGCCAATCCCTAGGTACCTTAACCTCTCCCATACATTTATTAAATAATTGCACCACCACTCCTAAACTATATCTCCACCTGCTTTTAACATTTCTATCTTTATCCCATCAATCCCGGCTGCCTTACCCCCTTTCATTTTACCTACTGCCTCACGAACTTCCCCCACACTCACAAATGGCTCTTCCTCACTCCTACAAGATGTTATTCCTCCTTGTCCTATACACGAAATCACAGCTTCCCTATCTTCATCAACATTTAAAAATTCCTCAAAATATTCCCTCCATCTTCCCAATACCTCTAACTCTCCATTTAATAACTCTCCTCTCCTATTTTTAACTGACAAATCCATTTGTTCTCTAGGCTTTCTTACTTGTTAATCTCACTCCAAAACTTTTTCTTATTTTCAACAAAATTTGTTGATAACATCTCACCCACTCTCTCATTTGCTCTCTTTTTACATTGCTTCACCACTCTCTTAACCTCTCTCTTTTTCTCCATATACTCTTCCCTCCTTGCATCACTTCTACTTTGTAAAAACTTCTCATATGCTAACTTTTTCTCCCTTACTACTCTCTTTACATCATCATTCCACCAATCGCTCCTCTTCCCTCCCGCACCCACTTTCCTGTAACCACAAACTTCTGCTGAACACTCTAACACTACATTTTTAAACCTACCCCATACCTCTTCGACCCCATTGCCTATGCTCTCATTAGCCCATCTATCCTCCAATAGCTGTTTATATCTTACCCTAACTGCCTCCTCTTTTAGTTTATAAACCTTCACCTCTCTCTTCCCTGATACTTCTATTCTCCTTGTATCCCATCTACCTTTTACTCTCAGTGTAGCTACAACTAGAAAGTGATCTGATATATCTGTGGCCCCTCTATAAACATGTACATCCTGAAGTCTACTCAACAGTCTTTTATCTACCAACACATAATCCAACAAACTACTGTCATTTCGCCCTACATCATATCTTGTATACTTATTTATCCTCTTTTTCTTAAAATATGTATTACCTATAACAAAAACCCCTTTCTATACAAAGTTCAATCAAAGGGCTCCCATTATCATTTACACCTGGCACCCCAAACTTACCTACCACACCCTCTCTAAAAGTTTCTCCTACTTTAGCATTCAGGTCCCCTACCACAATTACTCTCTCACTTGGTTCAAAGGCTACTATACATTCACTTAACATCTCCCAAAATCTCTCTCTCTCCTCTGCATTCCTCTCTTCTCCAGGTGCATACAGACTTATTATGACCCACTTCTCGCATCCAACCTTTACTTTAATCCACATAATTCTTGAATTTACACATTCATATTCTCTTTTCTCCTTCCATAACTGATCATTCAACATTACTGCTACCCCTTCCTTTGCTCTAACTCTCTCAGATACTCCAAATTTAATCCCATTTATTTCCCCCCACTGAAACTCCCCTACCCCCTTCAGCTTTGTTTCGCTTAGGGCCAGGACATCCAACTTCTTTTCATTCATAACATCAGCAATCATCTGTTTCTTGTCATCCGCACTACATCCACGCACATTTAAGCATCCCAGTTTTATAAAGTTTTTCTTCTTCTCTTTTTTAGTAAATGTCTACAGGAGAAGGGATTTGTCAGTTAAAAACAGAGTAGGGGAGTTAGTAGATGGGCAGATGAAGGTTTTGAGGAGATGGCAAGAATATTTTGAGGAACTTTTAAATGTTGACGAACAAAGGGAGGAGGTAATTTCATGCACTGGCTGCCAGGGAGGTATATCATCTTTTAGGAGTGAAGAAGAACATGATGTGAGTGTGGGTGAGGTGTGCGAGGCATTATGTAGAATGAAAGAGGGTAAAGCAGCTGGAACTGATGGGATCATGACAGAAATGTTAAAAGCAGGGAGGGGGGGATATAGCGTTGGAGTGGTTGGTATTTTTGTTTAGTATATGTATGAAAGAGGGGAAGGTACCTAGGGATTGGCAGAGAGCATGTATAGTCCCTTTATATAAAGGGAAGGGGGACAAAAGAGATTGTAAAAATTATAGAGGAATAAGTTTACTGAGTATAACAGGAAAAGTGTACGGTAAGGTTATAACTGAAAGAATTAGAGGTAAGACAGAATGAAGGATTGCGGATGAGCAGGGAGGATTTAGAGTGGGTAGGGGATGTGCAGATCAAGTGTTTACATTGAAGCATATATGTGAACAGTATTTAGATAAAGGTAGGGAAGTTTTTATTGCATTTATGGATTTAGAAAAGGCATATAATAGAGTGGATAGGGGAGCAATGTGGCAGATGTTGCAAGTATATGGAATGGGTGGTAAGTTACTAAATGCTGTAAAGAGTTTTTATGAGGATAGTGAGGCTCAGGTTAGGGTGTGTAGAAGAGAGGGAGACTACTTCCTGGTAAAAGAAGGTCTTAGACAGGGATGTGTAATGTCACCATGACTATATAAATATATTTATAGAGGGGTTGTAAATGGGATAAATGCTAGGGGGTTTCGGGAGAGGGTGGGATTAAATTATGGGGAATCAAATCAAAATGGAATTGACACAGTTGCTTTTTCTGATGATACTTGCTTATGGAGATTCTAAAGAAAAACTGCAAAGTTAGTGGGTGAGTTTGGGTTTGTGTAAAGGAAGAAAGTTGAAATGAACATAGAAAGAGTAATGTGATTAGGTATCAATGATTTAGATAAGGAAAAATTGATTCAAATTGGGGAGGAGGAAGAGTGAGTGGTGCACTTAGGAGTCTGTGAAAAAGAACTTTGTCCTGAGCAAAGAGGGAATGTGAAGTAAAAGTTTTACAACGCTCTTATATGGAGTGTGAAGCGTGGGTGATGAATGTTGCGCGAGGAGAGCTGGAGCAGTGGAGATGTCAGTATGAGGGCAGTGTGTGGTGTGAATATAATGCAGAGAATTCGTAGTTTGGAATTAGGAGGAGGTGCGGGATACAAAACTGTGTCCAGAGAGGCTGAGGAAGTTTGTTGAGGTTTCGGACATGTAGAGAGAATGGAGCGAACAGAATGACTTCAAGAGTGTATATCTGTATGGAGGAAGGGGTAGGGGTCGGCCTAGGAAGGTGGAGGGGGGTAAAGGAGGTTTTGGTGCGAGGGGCTGGGACTTCCAGCAGCATGCGTAGCGTGTTTGATAGAGTGAATGGGAGACAAATGGTTTTTAATACTTTACGTGCTGTTGAGTGTGAGCAAGTAAATTTATGAAGGATCAGGAAACCGCAGCGGACTTGAGTCCTAGATGGAATACAGTGCCTGCACTCTGAGGGGGGTTTATGTTGCAGTTTAAAAACTGTAGTGTAAAGCACCCTTCGGCAAGACAGTGAGAGTGAATGATGTGAAAGTTTTTCTTTTTTCGGCACCCGCCTTGGTGGGAATCGGCCGGTGTGATAATAAAAATAAAATAGTATGGAAACTGGCAGGCCGGACTTGAGTCCTGGAGATGGGAAGTACAGTGCCTGCACTCTGAAGGAGGGGTGTTAATGTTGCAGTTTAAAAACTGTAGTGTAAAGCACCCTTCTGGCAAGACAGTGATGGAGTGAATGATGGTGAAAGTTTTTCTTTTTCGGGCCACCCTGCCTTGGTGGGAATCGGCCAGTGTGATAATAAAAAAAATAATAGTATGGAAGAAGTGAATGTTTTCAGATACTTGGGAGTTTACGTGTCGTCAGATGGATTTATGAAGGATGAGGTTAATCATAGAATTGATGAGGGAAAAAAGGTGAGTGGTGCGTTGAGGTATATGTGGACGCAAAAAACGTTATCTATGGAGGCAAAGAAGGGAATGTATGAAAGTATAGTAGTACCAACACTCTTATATGGGTGTGAAGCTTGGGTTGTGAATGCAGCAGCGAGGAGGCGGTTGGAGGCAGTGGAGATGTCCTGTCAAAGGGCAATGTGTGGTGTAAATATTATGCAGAAAATTCGGAGTGTGGAAATTGGGAGAAGGTGTGGAGTTAATAAAAGTATTAGTCATTTGGCCGAAGAGGGGTTGTTGAGGTGGTTTGGTCATTTAGAGAGAATGGATCAAAGTAGAATGACATGGAGAGCGTTTAAATCTGAAGGGGAAGGAAAATGGGGTAAGGGTCGTCCTCGAAAAGGTTAGAAGGAAGTGGTAAAGGAGGTTTTGTGGGAGAGGGGCTTGGACTGCCAGCAGGCGCGCGTGAGCGTGTTCGATAGGAGTGAATGGAGACAAATGGTATTTGGGACCTGATGATCTGTTGGAGTATGAGAAGGGTAATATTTAGTGAAGGGATTCAGGGAAACCGGTTATTTTTATATAGCCGGACTTGAGTCCTGGAAATGGGAAGTACAATGCCTGCACTCTAAAGGAGGGGTTTGGGATATTGGCAGTTTGGAGGGATATGTTGTGTATTTTTATATGTATATTTTTCTAAACTGTTGTGTTCTGAGGACCTCTGCAAAAATAGCGATTATGTGTGAGTGAGGTGAAAGTGTTGAATGATGATGAAAGTATTTTCTTTTGGGGGATTTTCTTTCTTTTTGGGTCACCCTGCCTCGGTGGGAGACGGCCGACTCGTTAAAAGAAAAGTTTACTATATTACCTTAACAATATATTTAAACATAGTGCATATAAAAAAACTGACTAAGAACTTACTTCTGCCATGCAAGAATAAGCTGAACTCCAATCCCATTAATCAGGCGAGCAAGCTTCACAACAAAGTCAGAATCATCATCCTGTAGGACATCAATTGACATATAGAATTTCTGTTGCTAATGATTACTCATTAACATGTTCTACAAAAAAATACACTAATGAATATATAACAATAAAGTAATTATAAAAAGTAAACAAAGCAGGTAGTAGGCTGGTAGACAGCAACCACCCAGGGAGGTACTACCATCCTGCCAAGAGAGTGTAAAAAGGAAGCCTGTATTTGTTTTACATGAAGGTAGGATTGCTGGTGTCTTTTTTTCTGTCTCACAAACATGCAAGATTTCAGGTACGTCTTGCTACTTCTACTTACACTTAGGTCACACTATACATACATGTACACACTTATGTATACACACTCATCTGAGTTTTCTTTGATTTTGTCTAAATAGTTCTTATTCTTATTCCTTTTCCTTTTAAATCCATGGGGAAGTGGAATAAGAATCTTTCCTCCATAATCCATGTGTGTTATAAAAGTCAACTAAAATGCAGGGAACAATGGGCTAGTAACTCCTTTTCCCGTATAGCCTACTAAAATTAAAAAGAAGAAAATGGTCAAAGTGGGATGTTTGAATGTGCACGGATGTTGTGCGAATCATAAGAAAGAGATGATTGTGAATGTTATGAATGAGAAGAAGCTGGATGTGTTGGCTTTGAGTGAAACAAAGCTGAAGGGGGTGGGAGAGTTTCAGTTGGGAGAAATAAATGGGATTAGGTTAGGGGTTTCAAACAGAGTTAGAGCTAAAGGAGTAGCAATAATGTTGAAGGATAATTTATGGCAGGAAAAGAAGAAATATAAATGTATAAATTCAAGGATTATGTGGAGTAAAATAAGGGTTGGATGTGAAAAGTGGGTTATAATAAGTATTTATGCACCTGGAGAAGAGAGAAGTGTAGAGGAGAGAGAGAGAGATTTTGGGGAATGTTGAGTGTGTGCATTTGTAGCTTTGAACCTACTGATAGAGTACTTGTGGTTGTGGGATCTCAATGCTAAAGTGGGTAAAAATGTTGTGGAGGGAGTAGTAGGTAAACTTGGGGTGCCAGGGGCAAATATCAGGTACACGTAAGTGAAGTTATCATACACAGTATAAATTACCTAGGATAACCCAAAAAATCCAGACAGTGCTATACAGTGGATCTGTGCTCCAGTGCCCTAAATTAATAATAATAATAATAATAATAATAATAATAATAATAATAATAATTATTATTATTATTATTACAATAATACATTTTTTTTCAACAAGTCGGCCGTCTCCCACCGAGGCAGGGTGACCCAAAAATGAAAGAAAATCCCCAAAAAGAAAATACTTTCATCATCATTCAACACTTTCACCACACTCACACATTATCACTGTTTTTGCAGAGGTGCTCAGAATACAACAGTTTAGAAGCATACACATAAAGATACAAACATATCCCTCCAAACTGCCAATAATACATATGTACTAATATTAATAATAACATTATTATTAAACTATAATATAATAATCGTGTCCACTCATTACTTATCTTAAAATATCTGTAGTCTTAACCCTTTGACTGTCGCGGTCGTATATATATGTCATAGGAGATACGGTGTTTGACGTAATCTATACACATAAATTCTAGCGGCTTCAAATCAAGCAGGAGAAAGCTGGTAGGCCCACATGTGAGAGAATGGGTCTCCATGGTCAGTGTGCACCATATAAAAAAAATCGGGGAGCCAGTGGTGCATTGTGGGAATACCATTTCAGTCGTCCTTTTTCAGCATGTCTAGCGGTAAGAAACATGTGACTCCCCAGCAAATCTGGGACTCTTCTCTTCTCAAGTGATGCTCTAACACAGATGGAAGTGTCAGCGAAGATCAATTTCATGATTTCGAGGAGTTTGAGACCAAAAGCAATGGAGGAGGAGGAGGAGGAGGAAGAGGAGGAGGAGGAAGAAGAGGAGGAGGAGGAGGAAGAAGAGAAGGAGGAGGAAGAAGAGGAGGAGGAAGGAAGGAAGGAGGAAGAGGAAGGAAGGAGGAAGAGAGGAAGGAGGAGAGAGGAAGGAAGGAGGAAGAGGAAGGAAGAAGAGGAAGGAAGGAGGAAGAGGAAGGAAGGAGGAAGAGGAAGGAAGGAGGAAAAGGAAGGAAGAAGAGGAAGGAAGGAGGAAGAGGAAGGAGGAAGAGGAAGGAAGGAGGAGGGAGGGAGGAGGGAGGACGAGGAAGGAGGGAGGAGGAGGAAGGAGGGAGGAGGAGGAAGGAGGGAGGAGGGAGGAGGAGGAAGGAGGGAGGAGGGAGGAGGAAGGAGGGAGGAGGAGGGAGGAGGAGGGAGGAGGAAGGAGGGAGGAGGAGGAAGGAGGAGAAGAAGAAGAAGAACAACAACAAGAAGAAGAAGAAGAAGAAGAAGAGGAGGAGGAAGAGGAGGAAGAAGAATAGTAATAATACCTAATAATAATAATATGCAATAATATGTTCCCTTGAGGCATGAAAACAGTTCACCCCATGACAGTGACAAGATAAGGGGAGATAACATCTGATAAGAGCTGACCTTTGATGAGCGTAAACGAGGGTGGAGGGAGGGGGGCAGCTGTCCATCTGTCAAGAGCGAGGAGGAGGAGGAGGAGGAGGAGGAGGAGGAGGAGGAGGAGGAGGAGGAGGAGGAGGAGGAGGAGAAGGAGGAGGAGAAGGAGGAGGAGAAGGAGGAGAAGGAGAAGAGGAGGAGGAGGAGGAGGAGGAGGAGGAGGAGAGGAGAGAAGGAGAAGGAGAAGGAGGAGAAGAAGGAGGAGGAGGAGAAGGAGGAGGAGAAGGAGGAGAGAGGAGGAGGAGAAGGAGAAGAAAGGAGGAGGAGAAGGAGAAGAAGGAGGAGGAGAAGGAGAGAGGAGGAGGAGGAGGAGAAAGGAGAAAGGAGGAGGAAAGGAGAAAGGAGAAAGGAGGAAGGAGGAAGGAGGAAGGAGGAAGGAGGAAGGAGGAGGAGGAGGAGGAGGAGGAGGAGGAGGAGGAGGAGGAGGAGGAGGAGGAGGAGGAGGAGAGGAGGAGGAGAGGAGGAGGAGGAGGAGGAGGGGAGGAGGAGGAGGAGGAGGAGGAGGAGGAGAGGAGGAGGAGGAGGAGGAGAGGAGGAGGAGGAGGAGGAGGAGGAGGAGGAGGAGGGGAGGAGGAGGAGAGGAGGAGGAGGAGGAGGAGGAGGAGGAGGAGGAGGAGGAGGAGGAGGAGGAGGAGGAGGAGGAGGAGGAGGAGGAGGAGGAGGAGGAGGAGGAGGAGGAGGAGGAGGAGGAGACGACGAACAAACATTTGTCTATTTGTCTGTCTGCCAAGCTCCCTGTCTATCCGTCTAGCTCTGTCTCAGAGAGAGCCACAAGACTGTGTCATCATCACGTTTACTCACATCTTCAAGCAGGGTATAGCACTTTGTCTGGATTTTTTGGGTTATCCTAGGTAATTTACACTATGTATACTTGTATTTGTGTGTACCTGTGAGACAGAGATAGACAGACAGAGAGAAAGAGAGAGACAGATTGAAAGAGATAGTATGAGGGAGAAAGATAATTAGATAGAATGGAGGGGAAGCAGCATCCGACCCCATTGTTTTGACAGGCGGTAGGGGGAGTGAGTAATGAGACAATAGGTCATTTTGACAGCTGCCCACTCCTGACTCAAAACAATTATAAGCCACACACTCCCACACAAGACAAGCTTGCTGAATGGTGATAATAGGAGTTTTATGAAAGTATCTAGTGACTATATATGTGTATATATATTATAGAAACCAGAAGCAAGAAGGGAATGCAGGAATGAAGGAAGGACTAGATGAAAGGAAGGAAAAAATTAAGGAAGGACAGATGAAGGAATGTAGGAAGAGAGGTGGAATGCCCTCCAGGTAGGAAAGGAATGAAGGAAATTAGGAAGGAAGGATGACACGCGACCATTTACCTAGGATAACTACATAACACAACTGCCTGCTAATACTTTGAAGAAAACTGCTCAGATGAGGTGTTTTGTCTTTGCACATAAAAAAAAAACTTCAACAAAAATGCACACACACTGATTTTATGTGTGAGAGTGTAAAACACCATTGTGTATGACACCATGTTTTATGTGTGAGAGTGTAAAACACCACTGTGTATGACACCATGTTTTATGTGTGAGGAGTGTAAAACACCACTGTGTATGACACCATGTTTTATGTGTGAGAGTGTAAAACACCTCTGTGTATGACACCATGTTTTATGTGTGAGTGTAAAACACCACTGTGTATGACACCATGTTTTATGTTTGAGAGGGTAAAACACCATTGTGTATGACACCATGTTTTATGTGTGAGTGTAAAACACCACTGTGTATGACACCATGTTTTATGTGTGAGAGTGTAAAACACCACTGTGTATGACACCATGTTTTATGTGTGAGAAGTGTAAAACACCACTGTGTATGACACCATGTTTTATGTGTGAGAGTGTAAAACACCACTGTGTATGACACCATGTTTTATGTGTGAGAGTGTAAAACACCACTGTGTATGACACCATGTTTTATGTGTGAGAGTGTAAAACACCACTGTGTATGACACCATGTTTTATGTGTGTGAGTGTAAAACACCACTGTGTATGACACCATGTTTTATGTGTGAGAGTGTAAAACATCACTGTGTATGACACCATGTTTTATGTGTGAGAGTGTAAAACACCACTGTGTATGACACCATGTTTTATGTGTGAGAGTGTAAAACACCATTGTGTATGACACCATGTTTTATGTGTGAGAGTGTAAAACACCACTGTGTATGACACCATGTTTTATGTGTGAGAAGTGTAAAAACACACTGTGTATGACACCATGTTTTATGTGTGAGAAGTGTAAAACACCACTGTGTATGACACCATGTTTTATGTGTGAGAAGTGTAAAACACCACTGTGTATGACACCATGTTTTATGTGTGAGAGTGTAAAACACCACTGTGTATGACACCATGTTTTATGTGTGAGAGTGTAAAACACCACTGTGTATGACACCATGTTTCAGAGTTCCACAAGCTGCAGAACTTCTAGGAATATATTCAGTGACTGTATATTGGTATATATATTATAGAACAATAGTAATAAACAATTTTTTGTATTGTTTGTTTTTGTAAACAAGTTTTGTAAACAATATATTGATAATTATGTTTGTGTGCTTATTGTGTTGTATACAACGAGTGTATATATGTACATTGCACCTTACTTTGGTCTCACAGGCCACATAAGTTATGTGAAAAAATAAAATAGTGAAAAACACAACAAACCTTCAAATACAAGTAAACCAAAGTTTACCGGGTGAGCGGCAGTCGCCGCTGTTGCCATACGCGGCTCATTTTCTGCAAACTTCATGCCTCACACACACACAGGTAGACAAAGAGTACACACACACAAGTATACAGAAAGACATACACACAAGTAGACAGAAAGACAAACAGTTAGAGAGACACACACACAGGTAGAGAGAAAGAGGCACAGGTAGACATAGAGACAGACACACAGGCAGACAAAGACAGACACACAGGTAGACAAAAAACAGACACACAGGTAGACAGACAGATAAACAGACACACAGAGATACAGACAGACACAGATATACAGGCAGACAGATACAGACAGGTTTATTTGTAACCGTGAAAACAAACAGAGAGTTCGAGAGTAAGAGCCTATCTTGCCACAATCTCCAGTGCAAGATTCAGACTTCATCTTAGGGGCCATGGTGAAATTTACTGTCCAGTTAGTACAGTTCATACAGTACGATGCTGCTGATAGTACAGGGTTACTCAAACTGATGCTGCCTGCATGACCCATTGCCGCCGTGAGTATTGTCAAATATTGTACAGGAGTGTGCATCAGCCGGCCCAGCCCAGCTGCCAGATGCACGGTCCTAAGTCAAGTGGATGTGTGTCGAGCAGGTCGTAAGTCGGATGGTAGGTGTATATATTTTTAAGAGAATGAATCAAAGTAGAATGACTTGGAGAGCGTATAAATCTGTGAGCATGCTAGATAGGAGTGAATGGAGTCGAATGATTTTTGGGACCTGACGAGCTGTTGGAGTGTGAGCAGGGTGATATTTAGTGACAGGATTCAGGGAAACTAGTTATTTTCATATAGCCGGACTTGAGTACTGGAAATGGGAAGTACAATGCCTGCACTTTAAAGGAGGGGTTTGGGATATTGGCAGTTTGGAGGGGTATGTTATATATCTTTATATATGCTTCTAAACTGCTGTATCTGGGCACCTCTGCAAAGACAGTGATTATGTGCGAGTGATGTGAAAGTGTTGAATGATGATGAAAGTATTTTTTTTTTTTTTTTTGGGGGGGGGGGGGGATTTTCTTTCTTTTTTTGTCACCTTCCCTTGGTGGGAGATGGCCGACTTGTTGAAAAAAAAAATATTTTTAAACACATGACAGTAGCATACTGTAAATAAACAGTTATATATATTTTTAAACACATGGCAGTTTCCCACCAAGGTAGTGACAAAAAGAAACATTATAAAAATCAATGAATTTCACACAGTTTTTCCAAAAATGCATGAACATCACAATTTAAATGATGCACCCACCCTCAATAATATAAGTATTGTATTTCCCACCTGCAAAACAGGAATTTTCGTTGATGTTTAATCCTAAACAGAAAAGAAAAATAAGCACTTACATCTATTGGTTTTAAAACACCTGCTTGATCCAGTACTGTAACGAAAGATTCTATGAGTTGGGTTTTGGTGACAGGGTCCATGCCTTTTGTGATGATTTCATGGATACAGTCAGCAGCAGCTTCCCTTAGTAAAGGCTCCTTTAGATGATCCACCAGCTTACATACAAATCTAGAATTTATTGGAATTTTACAAAATCATTTACATAATTTAAGAAACAGATTAGATATTTAATTGTACAAGAATATGCGTATCTGAAACCAAATTATCAATTGCAAAACCTTAAGTATAAAGGAAAAGAAATAATTTACTGAATTCTAGTGGGTTATTTCATTAACAAGCTTTAGAATCATTGGTGAGAGTCTAAAAATTATGAAGTCTAAAGAATAAAAATTTTTAGTAACAAGTTTATAGAATATCCTGTCTATCATTTAAGGCCAAATATGAAGTGTAAAGATAATATTTTGGAGAGAGTTGGTGGTGGTGGTTCATAGAGCTAAATTATAAAATGAGTAAAGGACTATCAGATCTAGAATGTTCACTTCTACATAGCAACGTTGAATGAACATATTAGCAAAAATTAGACCATTACCACTTAAAGAAAAAAATTACATTGACCTCCATGAGGAAAAAAAGCAAAATAATGAATAACCACATGAGTATACAGTACCTAATAGCACTCATTAAATTTCTGGCCTTTAATAAAAGAAAAATCCTTTAACAATACTGTCCATATAAAAAAAGCTAAGCTCAAGAGGATCATTTCAGTGCTGCACAGTAATGATAAATTGCATCAGAAGAAAACATCAGATATAGGACATGGGCATAGGACAAGAATGTATTAAAGTCATTAACCCTTTGAGGGTCAACAGGCCCTCTCCGAGACTCGTTCTCAGGGTCGGCCAAATTTAAAAAAAAAAAAAAAATAATAATATGAAAAGATAGAGAATCTTTTCCCGATCATAATGACATCAAAAGTATGAAATTTGATGGAAAACTTACGGAATTATGCTCTTGTGAAGTTAGCGGTCTCGGCGATGTTTATGCATCGGCGATTTTGCCCACTTTGAGCCCCATTTTCGGCCAATTCCACTGTACTAGTCGACAAAAAACATGAATATTTCGCTAGAACTCCATTTTTTCTATCGAATGTGTGCATGAAACCACCCATTTACCAATTTCAACTATCCAGTACAGTGGTCAGAATTTAGCAATTTTGCCAATTTCACACAAATTTCAAAAGATGCCAATTTCCGAATAGTGTCCAGAATAAACAAGAAAGACATTCCTGGCACTAAAATGACATTTCCTCTGTTCATTAGTCACGTCTCAAGGCCCCTCTTACATTCTTTTGCTTTCCAATTTGAATTTTTATTCTCACAAAAAATAGAAGATTTATTGTTATGCAGACTACTGCATTAGTGTAAAAAATGGCATAAATAATATTGGCGCATTTGCGAAAGAATATTAGACTTGCCAGTTGATGTGTATTGAACGCTTGGCATGATTGGTTTACTTTTGAACTTTGGTAAAAATCGAACATTTCTGCTACTTTGAGCTCAATTTCAAGGTACTTTTCATTGTAAAACCAGTCAAAATCATCTCAATTTCTGTAATATGTCCTCCATTCTATAAAATGAGACCAAGAAAACTAGAATACAACAATAAATACCATACGACAATACAGTGCAAAGTCGCTGTTTTATTCCAAAAAACGGTCAAAGTTTTTTTTTCTCATTATGCACTGTGTGCTGCAGGATTTTTTTTATACTGTCCACACTGACCACATAGACCCATTCTTTCATATGTAGGTCTACCAGCTTTCTCCCACTAGATGTGAGGGCGCTAGAATTTAGGCGTACTAGTACGTCAAAAACCCTGAGTCGTAAGCCGTACTAGTACGGCCGAAACCCTCAAAGGGTTAAGATATAATACAGCAACCCAGTATCTGATAAAGAGGCATAGATAACATTCACAACACAGATACCACACAAGAGTTTGCATAGCAGGGATTGAAATAGGGGAAAGTAAATATAAGCAACACATTCTTGATAAAAATTGCACTCTGAATCCTGGAATATGCCTTTCTGCATTTGGGGCCATGAGGTGACTTCTGTAATGTGCCACATCAATTTCCAACCCAATACCTACTTCTCCTAGCCCAAGTATGATCATGTGCTGTTGTACCTAGTTCAACTTCCTCCTGTACTTCCTTGTCATTCTTTTTGTGATGGTGCTCCTTGATGGGAAAAAGAAAACAAAGAACACCCTGAGGAATGCAGATGGAGTTTATAATGGAAATCAATTAAACCAATGTCAAGGACAAGCCCAGCATGCAAGTGCTGGCCATAGAATAACAGTCTTTACCAGAAGTCCTTGTGTGAGAAATGAGGAAAAACAGAGAAAAAAGGCAAAGCCACAGGAAGAACAGCACACCTAGACTACACAGATCAATTGAAGCAGAAACCTTATCTGTACTCTGGGTTGGTCAGTAGAATGTTTTCAAGCATTATCTAGATGAGCAAAATATAGACATTAGTGGACCACCTAACATCAGCATTTTCTCTATATATTGTATACAACTATTAGACAACCAGCATATTCTCAGTGATCACTCACATGACACTATCCTGCCTCAAGGACAAGATGCTCACTGAAGATTTGGCCTGGAAGCCACTGACAAACATGGGGTCCAGTACCATCTACTTTGAGACAAACTGGAGTTTCAGGAAACTGAAAAATGACCTACAGGTCAGGAGCCTTTGCATTCATGGGGTAACAAGGAAAGAAGAGATTGATGGAAGAGTCCAAGAAAGCAAGATGCCAAGAGGCCATTCTGCAGCCCCTAATATCCTGAGGAATTGAACCAGCTAAGCTGAGAGGGAGGGAGAAGACATTAATCCACAGAACTAATAAAAGGAAAACCAGACCATGGCCAGTGAAAATCAGGAAGGTTCAGAAAAGTACTAAATCTAGCAAAGAGGCCAAGAAGTCAATGAAACAAAGGAGTTGGGGCCTTGCACGGCCTAGGTATTCTTATAAAGGCCAGAGACACTTTGCCTACAAAGTCAGGAAACGAGAGATGAGGCCAGCATGAGCAAAAGGTTGGTCTATAGTTCCACTGCCAGGTTGTTTCTCACACAACATGGAAATCTAAGGCCTTGGGGACCAGCTGAGAGATAGTACTGGTGGAAGTGAAGGGGCCTGTATGATTAACCAGAGATAATGTGGGAGAAGGGCAAAGGCTTCTCGGAATGCCCCAATGAATGTCAAAGACACCAAAGTCATTTCATTGTGACCCTGCACATAGGGGTCAATACTGAATGACCTAAGATACAGAAGAGAAGCAATCCCCCCCCCCTCCCAGGAAAGCTCTACAGGACAATCACCACAAAGCTTGTCAATGCCACAAACCCTGTGAATGGGTAGGAAAATAAGCACCACCCTCAATGTGAAGAACAACAACAGATACAGATATCCTTCAATCAGCCTGGTGCAGGTAGACAGTTAAGCCTGTAGAAAAACAATCCAGAGTTAAGCCTATCGGTGTCAGTTCCATTGTACTATGGCTCTGAAGCCAGGGTTGGTTCCATAGTACTACACCATGAGCTCAGCTAACTCAGATAAGCTGTGAGCATAAAATATGGGCCTAGATATGAGAGAATGGGTCTATGTAGTAAGTGTGCACCAAACAAAAAAATCCTGCAGCACGCAGTGCATAATGAGAAAAAACAGTGACCATGTTTTTGGTTTAAAACAGAGGCTTTAAGGTGTATTTTTGTATAGTTTTTATTATTGTATTCTCGGATTCTTGGTCTCATTTGACAGAATGGCTTTTGATTGGTTTCAGGACTGAAAGTCTCTTGAAACTGAGCTCAAAGTAGCAGAAATGTTTGATTTTTGCCGATATTCCAGAAAACATATGATGTCACTTGTCCATCACACATTTAAGTGACCAGTCTAATATGCATTTAGGAATGCACTGACATTATTTATACAATTATTACAATAATACAGTAGTCTGCATAACAGTAAATCTTTTATTTTTTTGTGAACAAAAATTCAAAATGGAAAGCAAGAGTAATATTAGAAGGGCCTGGAGACCTGACTAAGGAAAACTGGAAATGTTTCTTTTGTGCCAGGAATGTCTACATTGTTTACTCTAGACCCTACTTTTAAACTGGCAATATTTTAATTTTGTGTGAAATTGACCAAATTACCAATTTCTGATCACTTTATTGGATAGCTGAAATAGTTAAATGGGCAGTTTCTTGTACTCAATCGACAGAATAGAAGGAATACTAGTGAAATAGCTACAAGTTCCTTCAACTGGAACAATAGAATTGGCCAAAAATAGGGCACAAAGTAGGTGAAATCGCCGATGCACACATATTGCCGAGACCACTAACTTTGTGAGAGCATAATTTTTTGAGTTTTCCATCAAATTTCATACTTCTGGTTTCATTATCTTCGGAAATAAATTCTTCTACCATTTCATAAAATAATTTTGAGATCAGGAGTCTCAACCCTGAAAGGGTTAACAGAGGAGAGGGTAGATGATGACAACTAGAATTGAGCAAATGTGCATGTCTCAGCTAGTTCCTGTGCATGTCACTGGAACATTAATGAGAGAGCCAAGACAAAGTTGGCAAAGCTAGACACAATAGCACTCTTAGGACCATACCAGCAAAGAAGAAAGTATTACATAGGTCAGGAATTCTTAACTTTTCCTCCATCATTAACCCCCTCGGCTTGATGCATTTCTCCATTTACCCCCTTACTTCCATACAAAATATTTATCACCATCATAAAAGGAGAGAAAAACAAGGTCAGAAAAAATAAATTATTCAATTATCAGGTACATCAAATATTTACCCCTTGCCATGTAATTTTTTACCCCTAAGGGTTAAATTTACCCCTGGTTGAGAATCACTGGTGTAGGATATAGATGTGGAATATTCGAGGTAGTCCTCCAAGGCTTCCCTCGAAAGAAACAGGTAGTTTATTTATAATTACAATCAATGAAGTGAGAATTGCCAGAAGCCCAAGTGGGGTTTTATAGAACCAACACCAAGCATCCTCCCATACCAGCCCTCTGACTAATACTTTTATTAACTCCACACCTTCTCCTAATTTCCACTCTCCGAATTTTCTGCATAATATTTACACCA